TATCAAGATATGGGGTGCCTCTTGGTTTAGGTTCAGGTCATGATCTCAGGGTCCTGGGATCGAGCCCTGTGTTGGTCTCCATGCTTAGTGCAGAGTCCTCTTGAGATTCTCCCTCTCCTGCTCCTCCCCGCTCACGTTCTCTCTTTCTCTTTCTCCCTCTCTTTCTTTCTCTCTCAAATAAATAAATAAAATCTTTAAAAATATCAAGGTACTGTGTAGTCTTTAAAAAGAACAAGAGTGATCTAAGTATATTTGTGGGAATGGTGCCCTCAGTATATTGGTTTGTTCTTGTTGTTGTTTTGGGGGTTTTGTTGTTGTTTTTAATTTGACAGAGAGAGAGCACAAGCAGGGGGAGTGGCAGGCAGAGGGAGAAGCACGCTCCCCACAGAGCAGGGAGCCTGATGTGGGGCTTAATCCCAGGACGCTAGGATCATGACCTGAGCCTAAGGCAGACACTTGACTGAGACACCCAGGCGCCCCACACAGTATATTGTTAATTGAGGTTTAAAAAAAATCAGGTTACAGAGCAATGTTCTTAATAAAATATTTGACTGCTCTAGATATATTGATAGAAAAAAGTCTGGAAAGACCTTGATTATGAAATTGTAATGTGGATAGAGTGTAGATTATTGGGAGGGACTGACCTTCTCTGTTTTAAATACTTCTCCATGCTTTGCATTGTCTGCAGTGAGTATATATATTTTTTAATTTAATTTTATTATGTTATGTTAATCACCATACATTACATCATTAGTTTTTGATGTGGTGATCCATGATTCATTGTTTGCGTATAACACCCAGTGCTCCATTAAAAATACGTACCCTCTTTAATACCCATCACCAGGCTAACCCATCCCCCCACCCCCTCCCTTCTAGAACCCTCAGGCAGTGAGTATGTATTTAAAAATCTTAGCTGTTAATAGATAGCAATTATCCACCACTTGCGATGTTTAAGGATGTTTTATGCATATGAGCTTAGTTAATACTTGAAACACTGTGTGAGATAGGTACTTTTGATGTACTTTGTATATTAGGAAATTGAGGTTAGTAAACTAAGGCAGCACAATGTAATCTGAATTCTGTCTAACTCTAGAGGCTCTTGTTAACCACAAGGATATTCTGCCTCCCAAAAAAAGAGCAATACAAAAAGTTCCATTTTGGAGAACACAGGCCCTTGGAACAGTTTGCTTTTGGCATCCCATTATTCACAGAGCTCAGAGAGCTGGCTGCCTGGAGTGTCGAATGATTTTTCAATTGCTTACCCTTTCATTTAATAAGCCGGAGAGAAAAATGATGGGTTAAAACCTATTGGCCATTTTTCCAGGAGTGCTTTGGATAGAAACAGTTTTTTAAAGTATTATTCCAAAATATCTTCTGTTTCCAAGCTGGCAAAACCAGAGTAGGGTTCTGGATTGATCGTCTCTCACCTCCTCTGGCATTGAGACCCCATTTTCACATCGTATAATGCCTTAGCTCCCTTTCCCTTCTGACGTGGTTGGACTTTCCATGTCTGTGGATTGAAGTAATTTTCATTTTCCCTCCACACCCGCCCTGGGGCTCATCTGCCACCACAGGTGGCACTGTTGTCCAGGGTCTGATTGTTCTGCAACCCTCTGCTTATACCACCATCGAAACTGTTTTTGAGGGATGTCAGTCTAACAGGAATTTCAGAGTTTGGCATTGCTTTTTTGCCTTGAATATCCAAATTCTAAATGTCTAGGCTTTTCCTTTCTAGAAAATGTTGTCTTGGGCGTTTGAATGCCACCATTTTATCCCAGAGCCAGAGTGTTCTGAAGGGGCAGGTAGGAAAAGGAAATTCCTTTGGGGAAACGTCTGAATTTGTTGCTTTGATTTTGAAGCTCCTCTCAGGGCATACAGTGCCTGTGGGGTATCAGACAGCACCATAAATAATGCGCGTCAGCTGCTGGTATTTTCCAAACGGCCCAGTTGTCAAGGAGAGGATGGCAGCAGAGGGGAAACAAACACAAATTTCTTTGCAGAGCCTTTTTCCTGTCTTCTTCTCTAGCCTCTGTTTGGATCTCACGTGTAGAGGGCTTGACTGAATCATACTACCCAATTTGTGGCATGGGATCATCAGAGGCCCCTCCCTTCATTGATTCATTGATTCATTTCTTGATTTCTTCGCTTTGAATTCTTTTCCCAGCTCCTATTTCTTTCCTTCTATATAGACCACCATTCTAATGTGTACATTAAAGTGTATTTTTGAGCAATATTGTGTCTTTTATCTACTGTGATGGTATGTCTTGTTCTCTTTCTTTGCTCCCTCAGCATTGCATTGGGAGCCATCCCTATTCCTCTGTCTGCTTCTAGACTGTGGCTTCTGTCTGCTATCTGTGGTGTATGACACTGTATCTGTTTTTACAGAGCTACATACTCTATCTCCTTGTGCATCCAGCTCCTCATGAGCTCTAACCGCACCACAGTGAACATCTTCGTACAGCTCGCACATCTCCCTGTGTGAGAATTTCTTTGGGATATACCCATGAGGAGAATTGTTGGCTGGTCAAAGGGTGTGAGTATACTTAGTTTGAGGGAGTAGTTCTCTGGAGTGGCCCATCCACAGTCCCACCAGCCCTACACGAGGATTTCTTCATTTCTGCCAACTTTTCCGTTATTCAGCTTTCTAATTTTTTGTCAATCATATAAATATGATAGCTCATTATTGTTTTGATTTGCATCTGTCTGATAATTAGTATGTTTGAGCATCTCTTCATATGCCTTTTGACTGGGTTTCCCCTTCTTTTGACCGCCTGTTCATGTTCTTTGCTCGTAGTTCTCTTCCATTTTCCCCTTTTTTCTTATTGATTTGTAAAGTTTCTTCTCTATTTTATTTTATTTTTTTTAAGATTTTATTTATTTATTTGACAGGGAGAGACACAGCGAGAGAGGGAACACAAGCAGGGGGAGTGGGAGAGGGAGAAGCAGGCTTCCTGCTGAGCAGGGAGCCCGACGCGGGGCTCAATCCTAGGACCCTGGGATCATGACCTGAGCTGAAGGCAGACGCTTAACCGACTGAGCCACCCAGGCACCCCTCTTCTTTATTTTGGATATTCATCCCTTGTTAGCTGTAGACATTTTAAATACATTTTCCCATCTTGTCATCTATTAATATTATGTATGATATTCTTGCTTGAATGTAAAGCCCTCTTATATATTGAAGTACTTTTTTTTTTTTAATTTTCACCTTCTGGTTTATGGTTTTCAAGTTGTGTTTTAAAGAAGGCCTTTCTGACCCATGTCACAAAGATGTGCACCTATATTTTGTTTCATTGGCTTCATGATTCTGTCTTCCATGTTGAGGATTTTAATCCAACTGATACCTACCATCATATACGGTGTTTCATGAAGATCCAGTTTTACTGTTATCCACATGAAGAGTCGGCTTTCCCACAAATGTCAGCCTTTCTGCTTTTGACTTATGGGGCCAGCTTTATTGTATATTAGGTTTGTGGAGCTGAGCTCTTTGTCTGAGTTCTTTAAGTTCTTGGTCTGTTTTTTCTGGTGGTAATACCTCTCTGCTTTTCACGTGATGTCTTTGAGAAAAGTCTTCCATGTCTGGTACTCTACTTTTTAAGGTTTGACTTAGCTGCCTGTGGACCTCTAGCCTTGTGTGTAAATTCTAACATAAGTTTTATAAGTTCCTCAAAAACTTAAAACTTTCCTTTAGAATTGTATTGAGTTTATAGATTAATTCAGAGAAAATTGACACTTTTATAATATTAACTCATCTCTAAAAGTTTGGAATGTCTTTCCTTTTATTTAGATTGCCTGTGTCCTTTGTCAGTTTTAGTTTTCTGCCTAGAGGTCTTGGGCATTCTTGGTTAAGTTAATCCTCAAATACTAACTTCAAAAACCAGTCTGCTATTTTTGCCAACTATATGGGCCTCTTACCGGGGATCCTGCTGCCATCAGGGGACTTGCCCTGGGTTTGTTCATAGAATGTCACTAATATACGTCAGTGATACTGAGTTTTCTCTAGTTGTCCAAATTTTTGCGTGCTAGACAAAGGGAGGGAGAAGATGCGAGTAAGAATACTAGAGAGGAAGGAAGTATGGTTTGTTGTTCCCTAAGCTGCTTTGCTGATCACACCCCAGTGCCAATAACCTAGACTGATAGCTGTCATGGGTTTTTCCCCTTTCTCATGGGGAGGAACAGGACTCTGCACTGGGCAAGAACCCCTGCTCCCACCCCGCTCTCTGCATCCCCCTTTGCCACCTCAGTGCATATCTCCTCAGTCTCCGGCTCCTCTTGCTTGTCCTGCCCTTGACTGCGGCTGTGAGATTTCCTCCCCAGAGGCTTTGTGAGAATGGGTTTATTATCCTTTGAAATGAGCTCCCGGAGGAATCAGGAGAAGAAGCCAGGAAGTGGCCTTTTCTCTGCCAAGGCTGCTGTTGTCCTATAGTCTCACCTGAGGGATGGTTAGAGAGGCGAGAACTTGTCAGAGAGGAAACTCCAGTCCAGTGCAAGAGAGTGAGGGAAGGGCAGGCTTTTCTAATGTGAGCTGATCTCTTCCAAGTTAGAAGTTTTTAAATAATAAATGTCACTGCCTGCTTAGCTCTAAAGAGATTAGCTTGTTTACAGAAATGCTGCTATCCCACTGCTTCTCAGCTGTTTGAAGGCTGACAGACTGAGCCAGACCCTGAGCTTGTTCTCCTTGACTCCACAGTGCCACTTTCCTGATGTGAGTATTCACTCAAATTCCATAGGTTAATCGGATTATTTCAAAGGTCTATGGCCAGGTTGCCCCAGACATGCCTTCTCGTGCACTTCGCACTCAGCTCCATACCGACCATCTGGCTTTTCTGCAGAAAGAAAAAGTCCTCAAAAGAGGACTTTGCAGTTGATGGCGGTGCTTCTCGCCCTTTTTCGATGGGTTCCTGTGTGCTCCCTACTCTGACGCTTCCCTGGTTTCCCAGCAGGAGTCCAGCCTTCGTGTAGCTCTGCATTCAGTGACTACCTCTCAAAGTTCTGAAGTGTCCATGGCCTGGGACAGTGTGAGTGCAGAGGGGGAAGGACCCCTCCAAGGAGTATATGGTCTACTTTTGAGGTTCAGACCACGTGGAGACAACGGCCAGATGGCCAATCACGTGCGACGGTGCGTGTAATCGTCATGCTATCTGCACATGTACCTGCCGTGTGGACAAAATGCCCGGAGTCAGTTGGTTGGAGAGTGATCTCAGAATGGGCTTCCAGCTAGGCTAGCAAGACTTAAAAAAAAATGGGAACTTTCTACCTTCCCTCTTTCCCCAGAAGAAGGAAATCTAGCACTTCCTCTGCTTCCAGATGTCAATTCCGTCTTTTCTTCCAGTTTGTTTTTAATCTGGTACTTTCAAAGGAATCCTTTGGGTTTGTGTAATGCTCAAGAGCTCACTCAGGTGGTCATTTACACTGGGACATGGTAGGGAACCCTGAATCCCCTAAGCAGCTGGAAAAAAAGGTATTTTTGCTTACCAGAAAAATAATATGAATTCATTATAAAATATGAAGGAAATATAGTAATAGTTTTCAGAAATTCAGTATAAATCATCTCTAATACCACCCCAGAGATAATTCTTTCTTGTCTTTTTTTCATGATGTCTTATATGGATTTTGTCAATGTCAACATGTATTTTGATTCCCTTGGCATTATACTGAATATACTTTCTGTATCCTGCTTTAAATAATTTGCAAGCATTTCCCCACATCATGAAAATTGTTTATAAATGCCATTTCAGTGGTTGTTTAATAGGATTATAGGATTATGTCCAAATTTGTTGAACTATTTCCTGTCTTCGGACTTGGATGTCCTCTACAGATTTTTGCTGTTATGAGTAGTGTCAGCCTGAGCATGCTTCTACCTCAGTGTTTGCACATACCTCAGATAATTTCCTGTGGGTAGATCCTGCCATGTGGATTGGAGAGAGCTGTTTCAGTGGAGGGTACTGTGGGAGTGGTGTGGATTAGCATGCTGGCACACTGGCTGTGGCACAGGTCAGTGCGGGACCTCTCTAAGCTTGCATTGCCTTTTCCGTAGAATGGGAGATAAATACCAACACCTGTCTCATGAAGTTGCTGTGATGACTGAAGTTTAGCAAAGTGTCTGGCATATTATTTAATAGATGCCTCATTACTATTGGTTCTTATCCTTCTCTCTTATCTCCTCTCTCTGGTTATGCCAATTAGCCTGTCATATAAGAAGGGGGAAGCTCACTGGATTGGCAGAAGTGTTCCTGAGGGGAGCAGGGAGGAGAATGAAGAGTGGCAGCTGACACCCCTGCTGTTTTCAGGCTTGGTGCCTATGAGTGTTAGTTCCTTAAATCCTCATGGCTCCATTTCTCAAAGTGGGGTACGCACACTACTAGTGGGATCTCAGATCGTTTTAGGTCGTACCAGACACATTTTAAATTACCATTTAGATTTATATATTTATTTTCATGTGTATTAGGGGAAAAACACATGAATGTGTAAACCCCCTGGTTTTCTAAATGTTATTGCTTAGCACAGTGGTCCTCCTTTTCAGTAGAGCCAGATAGTAAATATATTCAGTTTTGCAGTATTATTTAACTCTCAATATTGTAGTGTGAAAGCAGCTGTAGACAATACGAAAACAAATGCGTGTTTGCTAATAAAACTTTATTTATAAATCAGGCAATGGCAAATCTGGCCCACAGACTCTAGGGGTTTGTCAGTTCTTAGACTACTTTTTTTTTTTTTTAAGATTTTATTTAATTACATGAGAGAGAGACTGAGAGCACAAGTGGGGGTAAGGGCAGAGGGAGAAGGAGAGAATCTCAAGCTGACACCATGCTGAGCACAGAGACCAATGTGGGGCTTGATCCCATGGCCCTGAGGTTGTTACCTGAGCCAGAATTAAGAGTTGGACGCTTAACTGACTGAACCACCCAGGTGTCCCCTTAGACTACTTTTTAAAAACTTACCCTTGTATTAAGCTATTTAAGATGGATTAAAGTTATGACAGGCAGCATGAAAGTGGTATGTCCATGGTTGACATTAGTGGAAATGCTGTTCACAACAACCAAGTTCACAAATGAGCGTTAGTCTTTAAGAAGTCCAGGTAGCATAGTCAAGAACTAGTGGAGCTGACATTCAAACCAGAGTCTGCTTGATTGCCAAGGTTACTTCCCACTTCCTTCCTCCACTTCTCGATATGTATGAAGTCTTTCCTCTGTTTTGCCATCCTGTCATTATGTGACCAACACACTGGAGCTGGAAGCCCTTTCATCAACACCTAACCTTCTCGGCTCTTTGCTATTGAGGGGCCATCCCATATTGCTTCTCAGTGAGCCTCCTCATTAGAACTATCAGTGGCTCCTCACATGCTCTGCAAGACGCTGAGAGGCAGTGTGTGTGTGTCCGTGATGCCGCAGCTTTCCAGGCACAGAACTGTAACATGGCCCACTGCCCTCCTGCAGGCATTGGACAACACAACCAAAGCTGCTTGGTTCCTATTACGCATATCCATCCTTCTCTAGGCCATCATTCAGTCACATTCCCTGATTGTGCTGTATCCAGGCTTTTCTTGACCAGGAGAGGAGCTGGGAGGGCACCATTACTTTGCTTATTGTTCTGCCTCTGATTTATACATTCCCTTCATCTCTGGGCCTCAGCTACCCGTGATCTGTAAAACAGAAAAAGAGATTTAGTCTTAAAGATAGTAGGGAAAGGTTTCATGGGATCATATGGGTCACTATTTTGAAAAGGGTTTAAAGCCATCAGACATTACTAAAAGTCCAACATTCTCATGAAAGCAGCAGAGGACAGAAAAGAGGATTTTCTTTTTCCTTTTGCTTCCAGTCACCTTCAGCCTTTTGCTCTTAGAACACCCACAGTTGAGAGGCAGGAAAAGGCAGCCACTGGTAACCAGGATCCTTGTGGGATCAGAGCCATCCAGTGGCTGCCAGGTCTCCACTGGTTGGTGGCTTATAAATAGAACATTTCCCTTTTTAAACCTGAGAAGGATGGGCAGCATTAGTGGGTATGGCGGCCTGACCTCCTGAGTGCTGGCCCATGAGGCAGTCAGCTGAGTACACCTTCCCCTTCAGCTTTCCATCCACACCTTCCAGGCCAGGCCTGATAGGAGACAGGCACTGGCTCTCTCCCCTTGCCTGAATTCCCTTCCAGCCCACCACCCCCACTCCTCTGGGCCCTTTTGCTTTCTCCTTTCCCCTCCCTCCAATGCTATGGCAGGTTTCTGTGGCTACCACTTTTATCTTCTGAGCCAGGGGCAGGCAAGATGGTATAATTCTAGCTCTCCCAAATGCTGATTTTCTGCACTTCGCTTTGCATTATGACTTGTGTGTGCAACACAGTGAATGTGGCCCACATGGAACTGAAATTATTTTCAGTTGTGCTATAATGCCCTAGCTTGAGAATAACCCTGGCTGAGGGTTTGGGGGCTAGCAAGAGAGAAAGGGGAAGGGACAGCTTGTTTTCTCAGAGATTTTTATTATTTTTTTATTTTTTTAAAGATTTTATTTATTTGACAGATAGCACAAGCAGGGGGAGTGGCAGGAAGAGGCAGAGGGAGAAGCAGGCTCCCCGCAGAGCAGGGGGAGCCCGACATGGGACTCGATCCCAGGACCCTGGGATCATGACCTGAGCCGAAGGCAGTCGGTTAACCAACTGAGCCACTCAGGTGCCCTCAGAGATTTTTATTATATGGGATCTCAGCCATTTTGTTTGGTGAGACCCTATCCCTCAAGGACATGACTGGTAATGGTGTTCCTCCGGCTAGCCTAGATAATCAGAAGCCTTTCTGTTTGTCCTAAGTGACACTTACCAAACCATCCTCTCTCCCAGCCAACTTTAGAATGGCAGATGCAGCTATGCTGTGCCTTTGCTGTGGCCAAATATCCCTCCTTAGAAGTGTAGGCTCTGTACCAACAGCAGACCACGGCCTGGGCAGGTGTGAACCACCCCTTGGCATTCTGGTTTGGGCTTCAGCCAAGCAGCAGTGAGCAGGTCTCTGGTTGCATCTTTAAGTTCTAAAGTCCAGTGCAAGGAGTTGTTGAGGCAGAGATTGAAAGATTTTCCTCAAGGCTCTGGATCAATGTTTATTGAGCACTTACTTAATTACTGGGTAGTGTGCTTAGGGTTTGATATATGTTATGTTGTTTGCTCCTTATAAGAACCGTGTGAGGTAGATGGTATTTTAGACCCCATTTACAGATAAGAAAACTGAATCCTCCTTCTCAGTACATACTTGTGGTCTCTCAGGGTCTTTCCTTCCCACCCTGATCAGAGTGTTTAGAGTGTGCAAGATTGAGCGGAGGCTATCAAGTCCTCTTGCCCACAGTGGGGATAAATGTTGAGTAGTGGTTGGGAGAGTAGGCTCTGCAATATTATTACATACATGGGTTGGAATCCCAGCCTCCTGACTAACTGGGTATGTGACCTTGGGAAATTAATTTCCCCAGGCCTCAGGTTTTGTTTTTGTTTTTTTTTTGTTTGTTTTATTTTTTAATTTGTGATATCAGTATAGCTTTAGTACCTACATCATTGGTTTTTTGGATGGATTAAATGGGATTAGGATGGAAATCTTTAGCTCAGTGGTGCCTGGTATTCTAAGCAGTCATTAAATGTTATTATTTGCTGTTGTTGTTATCAATAATATCATTACCCCAAACCAGAGGCTATTCATATAAAAGCATGAAAGTAGACAGTCTGCTTACAGTTCCTCAGAGTGCCTTCACAGACATTGCCTTGCTGATTTTCACAGCACCTGATCTGTGCAGATGAGAAGGGTCAGGCGAAGTATGCCCATCTTCCACAACCAGTTGACGGTGACCATAGCCGCAAATGTCAACGTTAGGCCTCTGATTACGAACGTCCTCCCCTTCCTTGCCCTTTGCTGCCTCAGTTTGTTGTAACCAAAAAGTACCTGAACCATTCCTAGGGCAGATCAAAGTGAGAAGACAGGTAGGTAGGTAAAGGCAGGAAAAAGGTCTAGGTGGGCAGAAGACATTGGTTCTCTGCTTGAAACACTTCCTCTTTCAGAAAGCTGGTGACGATTTGTTTTGGTTCAGAAATCAGTGCACAACCACCCATGCCTCAGGACAGAAAGGAATTGAGGCCTGTGGACTGTAATTCCTTCTCCAGATGTCCAGACCCTCGTGTAGGAGACAGGTGGTCCTGATGAAGCTGGTTGGCATTACCACGGGGTGCATTAGGCATTGCTCTTTCACTGCTGTCCTGATTGGGAATTTTAAGGTGGACTGGGAGACTGCAGTTGTCAAAACCCACAGGTGTGGGTTTTGCGAGCCGATCTGCCGCCCTCAGCCTGTACTATACAAGAACCCAGACTCTGCCACTTTGGCTGCGGTGTCTTGCTGAGAACTGGAACGCTCTTTACAGGTATCTTAGAACCTCTCTTGACTCAGCTGAGAGCTGGTAGGTTTATTCCAGGCCAGGCAGGGATTTCATCTCTTTCCTGTTACCTAGGTTACTTTGTTTACTCTATGTCCCTCTTGGCTTATTTTTTTTCTGTGTGTCCCCAGAAACCATGAAAAAGAAGATAGGTGCCTTTATATCTGGTAGGCTAGGGAAAAAAAAAGTTCTGATGTGCTGTATTCATGCTTGGAGGTGAGGGGATGAATGAGATCCGGGTCAGAGCTATTCGTCTTGTGCTTCTCACGACAGCGCCCCTGAACTCTAGAAGGTACCAGTGTGTTCAGCCAGCTGCTCAGCATTCGAGGCTCCTGGAGTATGAGGACTTTTTTTACCTATTGGTTTCTGGTGTCTCAGCAGGTGAAAATGTGGATTGTATTTGTTGCTTCATCTGGGAAATATTTATTGATGCTACAGTAATGAACAAGGCAGATAAAGTCCCTGCTCTCATGGAGTTATACTAGTGAGAGAAACTGACAGACAGCAAGTAAACAGAAGTATACTTTCAGGTGGAGAGAAGGGCTGGGAAGAAATAAGAGCAAAGGGATAGGGAATAACAAGGCAAGGGGAACCATTCCAAAAACCTGAAGCAGGGAGACCTCTCTGAAGAGGTTACATTTGAGCAGAAACCTGAACAAATGGAGGGAGTGAGGATGTCAGGAGCTGGCAGAGGAAGCCTGGAAGTGCAGGGAATAAACCAGCTGTGTTCAAGGCATATCAGGAAGGACCGTGGTGACTGGATTGGAGAAGGCCAGAGTGAGAGTGGTCAGGTGGGCTGGGACTAGACCATGTGAGGCCATGGTCAGGAGGTAAGCTTGTGTTCTAAGTGTCATGAGAAGTCCCTGGAGAGTTGAGATCAGGCAAGTGACATATGAGCCAATGTGTATTTTTAAAAGATGTCTCTGGCTCCTGGTGGAGAATAAGCTGTATGGGGTGAAAGGAGAAGCAGTTGGGAGGCTAGTGATTGGGGCCATACAGGCGAAAGATGATGGTGGCTTGGATCAAAGTATTAGCAGTGGAGATGGTGAGAAGCATCTGGGTTCTGGATGTGTTTTTAACTGGTGCCTGACGGGGCTGGTTAATGGATTGGAGGAGGAGAGAAAGCAAGGAATCCAGGATGACTGTACTGAAGTAGGAAATCTTGCTGGTAGAATATGGTACCTTCCCATCTTGTCCTTCCAGCCAGGACCAATGTAGTGCGTGGCTAGGGACAATAGTTCCCAAACCTGTGGGAGGGTGCCCACAATCTGCTTGGCCACAAGCATGCTCCTCTTTCTCTTGTCTACTAGTTTTGAGATCTCCACCTGGAGGAGAAAGGGAAGAATCCAGAAAACATGATTCCCCAGCACCTCCTCCCTCCCCCTGCCCCGTCCCTGTCTGACTGGTCATGTGAACTTGAGTAGGAATGGATGAGGGATGAGCTCTGCAATCAGACTGAGTGAGTTACAATCCTGGTTCCACCACTCATTAAGGCCAAAGTCTTACCAGAATTTCCTCAGCCTCATCTGAGTTGAGAGTTCCTGTCTACATAATAGAGATGATGACGGATGAGGACATGGTGTGTTTAAGTGCTTAGCCCAGATCAGTGCAGTTTGTTCAGCAAGCGTTAGCTACTGCTGTCATTGTTACCACTTAACATTGTGAGCCTGGCTTTTCTCATCATAAAGACTTATCAGATACATTGGGAAAATCAATTAAGCTATAGTATTTTAATATATTCTATACACAGTAATGTCTTATTGAGCTCATTAGTGGGGAAACATAGCAAGAAGTTATAAGTAAGAACAGTAACAGTATTTACCCCATGGGATTATTGTAGGGTAACATGAACTTGGGTGTGAAAAATGTTTTATCTACATCTGAAAATAATGATGTACTATATGTTGGCTAATTGAATTTAATTAAAATAAAATAGGGGTGCCTGGGTGGCTCAGTCATTAAGCGTCTGCCTTCAGCTCAGGTCACGATTCCAGGGTCCTGGGATCAAGCCCCGCATTGGGCTCCCTGCTCCATGGGAAGCCTGATTCTCGCTCTTCTGCTGCCCCCCTGCTCATGTTCCTGCTCTCACTATCTCTCTCTCTGTGCCAAATAAATAAATAAAATCTTTAAAAAATAGAAAAATATTTTATCAACTGGAAAGTTTGATTCAAATGTTGCTAATACTGCTAATGACCACTTATTGAAATACCAAATAAGTCAGTGTACATTTCCTTTGACCCTTGCAACACCTAGGTGAGTTCTCCCCACTCTATAGAAGAGGAAGGTAAGTGTCAGAGGTAAAGCACCTCTCCTATGATCATACCAGTCAGAGGTGGCAGAGACCAGAATTTAATCCAGGTCTGTCTGGCTTGAAAGTTTATCATTCTCTTTCCAGTACATACCACTTCTGTTTGTGTGACTTCAGTTAATATTAAAGTTAGTTCACACTCCCTGAATGTATAAAGCTGGGGAGCAGAGTATAGGACAGAGTAGAACAGGGTACGGGGTCTTGGGGAGCTGAACTGAGATTAAAAACTGGCTGTTGGTAATCCCCAAAATAGGGAATTCACACCTGGATAATTAAGAAGCAGTTGGCCAACTTCCCAGCGCCACTGGAAGTTTTTAAGAGTTGCCACCATGAAGATTGTTTCCCAGGGGCCACAGCCATGAAGGCCTGGCAACTCTGGGTCTTCACATGATTAGGAGAAAGGACGTGAGCCCCTCCGAGTGTGTGAGCCAGTTGGAAATCTATTCTCCAGATGGATTTGGTATTTAATTCAATGTGGGTGTTTCTCTTCATGGCTTTTAATAGTGTTGAAATTGATTAAATTCAGAATGAGCGAGGTAAGCCAGACTTTAAAGAGCAAAGCACATCGGGAAATGGAGTAAATTTCTGAGGTGAGAACATGCCTCTGGAGATGTCCATGAAATGGTGGTCTGCTCATAGTCATTCCAGACAATCTCCTGTATCCATCCACATTAAAACTGGGGCAGTAACTTCCTTTACCTTTCAGTTCTCTTATTTTTATGCAAACATCCAGCACGTCCAGCAAATTCCATTTCTCCTGTAAAAAACTTGAAAGATTTTTTTTGATCAAAGGAAAGTTGAGTAAGATTCATGGGGAAAGGTTTTTAGGCTAGGAAAAACCTGTTGAATACCACCTTTAAGAAAATGGGTAATGTGTTCTAATGTGTGTTGAAACTAATTCAGGAGATTAGTTCCTCTCTTTTGGAAAAGGATTTGTCTTCTGAGCTCTGTTAGAATTCCCAGGATGCGTGTATGGGGTAACTTCGGGGTGTATCCCAGAGAGTTGTTTTCACATGCTATATGTCCATCAGTCAACCTGTGGTATGGAAAGGTCCCTTCCATTCAGAATTAGTGATTTGGCCACTTATTGCCAAATTTCTTGATGTTTTGAGTACTAAGGACTGGTGTAGGGCAAGAGCAGGTCAGTGATTTTTAGTAAAGGGGCTCCTGGACCTGCAGAATGAGGTCTCTTGTGTAGCACACAGTTCTGGGGGAGAATGCTCTTATTTTCTGGGGCTTTCCTTGACCTCAGGCCTGTCTGATTGTGTAGATGGCCTAGATAGTATGATGTGGAAAGACCCCCCATACCTTCCGCTTTCACCAGCCACAGCTTCATGTGCACCTACAGTTTGGTGATGATAATGCCTTGATGGAAAAGCAAAGGATTTCTATAAGTGTCCAGGAAAACCAGAACTTGGTTTTATCTTCTCTGTTTCATGTCTTGGCTGGCACACCTTTTGTTTTTCCTTTCTTTTTAACTTATTCTTGGGGCTGTATTGCTAGGTGGTGATACCTCTTTGTATTGATACAGGAAGAAAGTAGGTAGGTCAGGCCACTCATATCTTTATTTAACATTTATATCTTCCCAAAAGATGAAAAATCTAGGCACTAGAGCTTAAATAACTCATCTACTTTCTTAGGGTTTATAACAATTGGAATTTGAAAGGTCATTTTTACTACACCACATATCCCCTTAGTGACCCTCCCCATCATACGTAATGGTCAACATAGTAGACAGTGAAAGGCAGAGATGGAGTATTGAATAAAACAATGAGTAAAGATATACATGTATCATTGCTTTCATGAATGCAAATCTGGTTTGGTAGGCAACATCACAGAAATAAATGTAAACTTGCAATTATGTTACATACTCTGAAGAAGAAGTTGATAGTGCTATATCCAAGTTTCAGTGAGGACGTGAACCAGGTGGAGAGATCAAGAGGGCATTTTTGAGGAATTGACACTTGAGGGGAGACCTGAGGGTTTGCAGTTGCTTTGGCCAGTGGGCTTCCAAGTGAAATCCACAGTATGTGCAAAGGCTGGAGAGAAAGTGTAGTCAGTTGGATGCTCTGAAAGCCACTATGGTAGGATGCTTAGGTCTGGAGGGGTAGTGTGAGATGAGACAGGCTAGACTAGACCATGCAGGGTTATGGGAAACCTGTGAAGGACTTGGGTTATCTTCCTGAGAAGAGTGGGGTGCCATTGAGAGATTTTAAACAGGGAGGGCACATGGTCTGGTTTCGTCCAGATCAGGGGGGCTGCAATGTAGAAGATAGACTGGAGGGAGCCATAGGACATATGAGGACACCAGTTAGGTGGTCATCTCAGCAGTCCTGGTAACAGACGACGGAGGCCAGGACCAGGATGGTCGTGGTGAAGATGGGGAGAACTAGACGAAATTGAGGAACCTGGTGATAATTTGGATATGCGGGTAAGAAAGAGGGGAAGTGCGAAGGGTTTTGTACCACCTACACACTTCATTTTCTTTTAAGGTGGAAAGAGCCAGGGAAAACATCTCAGGTGAGGTAGCATTTGGTGTAAGAAGCTGCAGAGCATGTCTCTCCACCTAGCCACCTCTTTTTAGGCAAGCCTCCTCTTTTAAGGCAAGAACATCATTGGATTGAGCCTTATATACTATGTTGTTGTTTCAAGACCTTTGCAGTAAAACTGTTTGTTCCTGGATTTAACTTGCCTCCCTGCTCTTGGAGTTCGTACCCTAGGCATAATACCCAGTGGTCTGCCAAGCATCCTCTTCCCTCTTCTGCCCTAAGACCCTCCGAGCTGACTGAGCATCAACCCAACTCTCGGTGTTTTTGTGTTCTCCATAGAATTTTGAGAAAATAGGCGTGTGTGACCTTCTTCTAAAAGGAGACAAACAAGGCTTTGAAAGTTGAAATGAAAATTAAGACGGTGATAGATTTCTAACTTGGCAGGTTAACCTGCGTATTTGGTGTGAGCTCTGTTGACAGTCATCATATGAAAGCTGTTTGGGCTGCCTGGTGCAGAATCCTGGGCAGAGTTGAAGTTGAGGCTGAGGGAGGAAGAGAAGCCATTTCGGGCCTTAGCTGCAAGACAGTGGATGGCAGGCTGAGGAGCTACCGGTCCTGCAACAACTCATTGCAAGTCAAATTAAGGGAATAATGCAAGCCTAGTAGATATTTAATGAGAGATTATTCCTGAGATTATAAGGATAGAGAAATTGCAAATAAATCCCTGACCTTTTCTGAGCCTTGGCCCAGTAAAAGAGCTGAATCACCTGCTTCAGGGGATTAAGGACAGCCGCTTCCATCTGGCAGTCTGCTCAGACTTTTTCTGTCATTAACAAACTCTGTTCAGTGGTGATCATGTTCTAAACCTTTTAGTGGGATCTTGCTTTTCAGCAGAGGTGATCTCAATTAACTTAGATTATGTACCTGCTGGGCAGAGATCCGAACTAATGATCTCTAGTTATGTATGCACTATAATAGCTATTACATTAGTAGTACTCTGTACGTGTTAAATAATAAAGCAGTTGTTAATCATTAGTAACCTAATCATGACAGCAGGGAATTCAAGTTCAGAATAGAAGTCAAACTTCATGTGTATGTGTGTGTGTGAGCACGCACACACACATGCGTGTGTGTACACGCGTGCTTGTGGGTGGCATAGCCTTAGAGACACAGGGACAAACAGGGATGTCCCAGGGCAGCAGACAATGTAATAATTGTACCAGTTTCAGTTTAGAGACTTAGAGCAATGATTGTTAAACTCTATATCATGAGTTCCTTGTTGGGAACTGTTGTTTGATATGAATTTCATTTCTTAATACAGTGTTATCTGCCTACAAAACTGTAATAATTATCATCAGAATGCAACTTGAACAACTAGAGGCTGACAGTGAGTTACCTTGAACTCCCTTTGACTTGGTAATATGTAAATGTGTTATACTTTTGAACTCAAGACAACTAATATATACTAATACTATGTTACATGTGTAATGTGTAAGGCCTTTGTGTGTAATGTCTGTGTAAGATTTATTTCAAGAAAAGGAGTTAGCAGGTTTAAAACAAATGAAAGAACTTAATAATGTTGGGAAAACCAAAGGAGAATTGCTAAGAGATTTGGGGAGGGGGGCAGTTTGCTTTGTTAATTTCTAAAAGAAGTAATGGTAATTAGTGTAGGTTAGTGGAATTCGATTTTTTCTGGATATACTTGGAAGGTTCCGTTGCATTCTTTTCCATTAGCTATTACTTACCTAGGAAAGGATCTTGCTTCTTGCATTCAAGGACTCACTTGGCCTTGCAGGTCTATCTCTAGCTCTGCCCTTACTTCTTCTGCTAGTTATGCCGATGGCTTTATGAGCAGGTATCTTTTGGTTACTGGCATTGTCACTGTCAGCTGTCAGGTTATTTCAGCCTTCCAAAACTTTTGCCACTGTTTATGGGGTAAAGGAAGCAAAATACTTTTTGTCCAAGATAGATGTTGATCAATGTGTAGAACAAGATCATGCCGCAAACATACTCTTAAAGCATCCAAGCTTGGAATCAGTCTCAGCAGCGCTCCAGAGGATGGTGCAAAATGGTGGTTCTTTTCCTCCTGAACTTTTTCAGCTATCATCCCTGTGCGTAAATTCCGTTGATCACCTCTCAAAAGAAGAACTAAAAGGCTTCAACTGACTATTGAATCATAGTTATGAACGTTTTGGAAACCTCCTAAAGAACAAAAACTAGTTTCCTTTCTGACAAATAGTTTCCAGTAGGCTCTGTTCTGATTACTGTATAAAGGAATGAATATCCTCCCCTGCGCATGAAAAGATGCCCCACATCATTAGTCACTAGGGAAATGCAAATCAAAACCACAATGAGATACCACTTCACGCCCACTAAGAAAGCTATAATAAAAAACAATAACAGATATCAGTGAGGATGCGGAGAAGTTGGAACCCTCATACATCGCTGGTGGTAAGGCACAATGGTGCACTGCTTTAGAAAGCAGTTTGGCAGTTCCTCAAAACGTTCAGCACACAGTTACCATGTAATCCAGCTATTCCACTTGTAGGTATAAACTGAAGTGAAAATATATGTCCACACAAAGACTTGCACAGAGATGTTCCTAGCAGCATTTCATAACCAGAAAGTAGAAACAACAATCAATGAATGGATAAATTACATGTGATATATCCAGACAATAGAATATAGTCATAAAAGGGAATGATGTATTGATGCTGCAACATACATGACTCTAGGAAGCATTATACCAAGTGAAAGAAGCTAGCCATAAAAGACCTTGTATTATATGATTCCGTTTATATGACTTGCCTAGAATGGGCAAATCTATAGAGACAGAAAACAGATGACTGATTTTTAGGAACTGATGGAAGGCAGGAAATAGGGTGTGACTGCTAATGTGTATGAAGTTTTATGTGGAAGAGAATGAAAATGTTATGGAATCAAATAATGGTGCCTGATTCATAACTTTGTAAGTATACTAGAAACCAATGAATTTTGAGCTTTAAATGGGTGAATGTTATGGTATGTGAATTATATCTCAATAAAACTCTTATTTTAAATAATCTTTGCCTAGATTTTAACAGGTGTTTAGCCTGTGTATCACTGTTTGTTATTAAATTTGGGAAAAGTCTATGGCATGAGTTGATTGAGTTTCATTTGGAAGACTGATTTCAATCTGACTTGGCAGCTTTGAGTCGGAAAGCTCTGTACTGCATGATTTGCAGAGTAAATACTTGGTTTATACTAGAAAAAGCATGAGAGTAAGTTAGTAGACTCCTTACAACTTTTAAGAGAATAAGAGCGGTGGTTTGTATAGCAGGTAGTCTCCAGGAAGAGAAATACTGTTTTCCTCCTTTTCTGGTACTTTACTGACTATCCTAGAGACCAAATGTGTTTAAAATAAGTATCAGTAAGTGAAAAGTATGTCGGTAAGAATAAGAGTTATTTTATTTCCTTTAAGAAGAGAATTTTTAATAAATCATTCCTTTTTAGTTTGAGGAATGCAGTGATTTTCTTAAGGATCTTTATCTTCATTGGATGTAAGTTCACTCATATACATAAAGAATTAGAGCAAGGTGCACCCCCATGTTTATTGAAACAATATTTATAGTAGCCAAATTATGGAGGCAGCCAAGTGTCCATCGATAGAGGAATGGATAAAGAAGATGTGGCATATATATATATATATATATATATATGCATACATACATACATACAATGGAATATTATTTGGCCATTAAAAAGGAATGAAATCTTGACATTTACAGGAACATGGTTGGAACTAGAGAGTACAATGCTAAGGCATATAAGTCAGAGAAAGACAAATAGCATATGGTTTCACTCATGTGGAATTTAAGAAACATAGCAAAAGAGCAAAGGAAAGAAAAGGAAATACAAACCAAAAAAACAAGCTCATAACTATAGAGAACACGTTGATGGTTACCAGAGGGGAGGTGGGTGGGAGGATGGGTTGAATAGGTGATGGGGATTAAGGAGTGCACTTGTCGTGATGAGCACTAGCTAATGTGTGGAAGTGTTGAATCACAACATTGTACACCTGAAACTAATATCATACTATATGTTAACTACACCAGAATTAAAATTAAAAACTTAAAAAAATTTTTTGAGAAAGGTTCTGTTTGGATTAGATCAAAGAATGAGTTCAATAGTTCTCATATTTTACAAGTTTATTTCTTGCCCAGGATGATGACAAATTATTTAAAAATACTTCCCTTCCTACTTTCTACCATTCTCTTCTCCTCTGTGACCCATGAGTTTATAGAATGTCTTGCCCTGATGTCCCAAGGTACTCAAAAGGTGAACCCATTCTTAACAGTTACCATCCACATCTTCTCACTGGGTAATCCAAACATGGAGATAAATCTTGGTGGGTTACCAGCCTCACTGCCAGGTTGGAAGTTGGTTCTGAGCTGTGGAAAAGGTTGCTACTATTTGATTGTTAATTTTCTGAGTCACATTAGTGGGGTTTGTAGCAGGTGGAAAACTCTTACTACTTGCTGACAGATCACACACAGGATGGCTCTACTGCCTTGTGCTTATTCATCAGGTAACTTCTTTGTTCTAGGCTGCTTTTATTTTCCTTTAGGTCACTTTTCCTTTTGCCATTTTTTCCTTCTTTTCTAATCACCTGAGCAGGATTTGACTTCTCTCTTTAATTCAAGGTCATATTTAAGGCAGTTAGGTCTTCACAGGCTCTGAGTGAGTCTCCCACCTATTAGCTCTGCAGCTTTGATCAAGACATTTAGCTTTGCCAAATCTCAGTTGTTTCATCTGTAATATGGAGCTAATGCTAGTATCAGCCTAGCGGATTTACGAGGATTAACTGAGATAATCTGTGTAAAGCATTTATCTAACATTTATTGTGCCACTTAATTTATGCTTTTTGAAGGAGGCCAGGAAGCAGTTAGTCCAATAGTTCCTGACAATAACAGAACAAGTGATTTAAAGGATGCCTACTTATTCCTTTGGCAAAGCGCATATCACTATGCTGCAGTGTCCTCAACTGTAAATAGAGGATAACTTTGCTGAGTGACCATGAGAATTAAATGAGATAATATAAACAAAGCACTTAGAAGTGGACCTGGCATATGGTAATCTCTCAGTGAATGCCTGCTGATTTTTTTTTTTTTTTGATCATTTTTATCTGTGGCCAAACCATGGGACTGATTGATCCTGGGTCTGTCAGACCTTGTCTGAGGTTGGTATGCATGGCCAGCAACTTGACTGCCCCTCTCTTCCTCTTTCAGCTGCACAATTGGACAGCATTGGCTTCAGCATAATCAGGAAATGCATCCACGCTGTGGAAACCAGAGGTAAAGTCGTTCAACAGATGGCATTGTTCTCAGTGAAGGTCACACATCTGGTGAGGTGTCAGACCTGCTACCTGTTTCCCGATTTTAAGTGACTCATTAACTCCCCAAGTGCCATTATTAGTGTGTTTCTACAGGTTGTGTTGCTCCGAAGCAGGGGCCCTCAACCGATTTGGTGTCATCAACCTCTTTGGCTGATTAGTAGAATGTTTTAAAGACATACGTGTCAAATACATAGGATAATAAGGAGTCTAGTTACTGGAATTCAGTTAAAATATTGAAAGACCTAGTTGTAATGTAATAGTATATGTGTTTCTTTGTTACCACTTTAAATAATAAGTAATAGACACAGGTCTGATAACTGGCATAATTTGGAAATGCAGTTGACCCTTGAATAACGTGGAAGTTCGGGGTGCCGACCCCCTACCCTCCCGTGCAGTTGAAAATCTGCATATAATTTTTGACTCCCCCACAAACAACTACTAACAGCTTTCTGTTGACCAGAAGACTTACCAATAACATAGGCAATTAATTAATACATATTTTGTATGTAACATGTATTATATACTGTAATACTACAATAAAGTAAGCTAGAGAAAAGAAAATATTAAAAGATCATAAAGCACATTGTACTGTACTGTGTTTATTGAAAAAAAATCCATGTGTAAGTAGACCTGTGTATTTCAAACCCGTGTTGATCAAGGGTCAGCTGTCCTGATATTTCAAGATGTCTATAAAAGTCACAGTGTGTTATGAAAATAACTGATTTCTGAGCAAGTCACAGGTATTGCTAACACTGTGATTTATTGCTTATAATGGAAGGAAATGTTTAATTTCAGTGACAGGGTCATGAAAGTAAAGGCGTAATTGTTTTTCTGCCTAAGTTCATTGACACTCTGAATTCTCTAGTGCACTCCTGGGGTCTGTGGATGCCAGGTTAAGAACCATGCTATGAAAAGCCAGTCCCTGGTGACTATCCAGGTGGGCAGAAGGGGTCAGGCCCCTGGTTTCCTGTAGCAGTGCTGTAGCCAGGCCCTGCCTGTTGTACATTGACCCTTCCTGGGTCTGTAGGAGCAGGACTTTAAGAATCAGGGAAGCTAATTCATCCCAGTGGTCTCCTTCCCATCCTTCGATGTTGACCCAAAGGAGATTTCTCAGTTCTGGCAGTTGGGAGCTTTGAGTACTCTGGTCTATGATACTCCTGAGAAAAGCTGTTAACTAACTTTGCTGTGGATTTGGTTTGAATCATTGTTAAAGATGTGAGTCTTACTATTCCACAGCCTCTCAACCCATTAGTCTTTTTCACTTGATTGAAACAAGTTTTATCTTTTAAAGCAGGATCCATAACTAGTAAGAGTTCTAATTATTACATTATAAATATAAAATATGAATATCTTTATAAAGTATAAAGCATTGAGTAAAGGGGGATGAAAAAAATCTTAACTGTATGAGCCACTCCTCCTACCCAGTCAGAAAGTACTCTTTCCAAAGTAGTTATTTGAATGTGTTCTAAGATTTTTTAAATGTTTGCTTATTTCTGCTATACCTTCCTTCAATAAAGAGTTAAGGCAGCTTGCAAAGAGAAGTGAAATACAGCCAGAGAATATAAAGTAGAAATAGGTGAGATTTCTGGGAATTGATCTGGAGGAAATAAGGACACAGGCAGGTTGAGCCACAAAGCTGTTTACACAATGATGTTAAAGTGAAAAACAGGAACTGGTCAAATGTTTCAAAAACTGGTTGGATCACTAGTTGTACATCCATGCGGTAAAAAGCCGTGAATCGCTAAAACTGCAGGGAAATACATTTATTGACATGCCAAGCTTTCATTATTAGATATTAAGTGAAAAATGAAAGTTACGGAACAGCCTGCACAGTATGAATGCATTCTGGGGGTGGTGGGGGGAAAGGGAGATCCACATATGTGCAGGTATCATCATGTCGTCAGCGGGGCTCCCCCGCTCTTCTTACTGTCTTCCTTTGGTTTATCTACTTGCCTTAATGGCAGTTTCTGAATTTTCAAACTGTTACTAAGGCAGTTTTCAACAGGTGTTTTAATTTTCTGTTCATTCTAAGAGAAAAGAATTAGGAATAAGAGGTACAGGGTTAACAAAAGTAGAGGCATAATAAAAAGGCAGCCAAAAGTAAGTTCAAAACAAAAATCCCCTCCCCTCCACTGTGAAATTCATCCACTTGCCTGAGGTGGGCCACCTCTTTGAGTTCTCAGCAGCCAAACCAATAGGGAAATGTAATTTAAAACGCTTCACAGAGCCTGTGATAAATGCAGACCAGTGGCTCAGGAGGACAGCTTTTTATGATATAAAGCCAGAAAATATACATAATAAATAGTAGAGGAAGAACAAGGTCATCATCGATTTGGTGTCCTAGCCTCTGCCTCTTTCTCCCCTCCTGCTCTAAAATAAAGATGAAAATGATATGTTCTGACTTGTAAGAAAGTTTTCATTTGACACAAAAAGGAAAAGAGGACAGTGTGAGTTAAATGCCATTTTAGCATAAATACTTGAAAGAAGTGGTTATTTTCCTACTGGAATGCATGTATGTATATAATTATTTGTGGTGACCAGAGGTGAACAGACATCCCATATTTTCTGGGGTTCGTTAATCATCGTCTAGCAGGAGACAGGGTTGTATCCAGTTCCAGGAAAGGTCAAGGACAGAAGAAGTAGAGACACTTGAGAAAGGACAAGCCCTTTAAGCCACCACGTTACTGAGTAATGGTTCTGCTGTTAAGTAGCTTGGGGCCCATCCCTTAGTTGTAGATCACAGTCTCCTAGCCGCCGAGCCATGCAGGCTGATGTACGGGCTTTTACAGGTCTTTTTTAGCTATAAAATCCTATCATTCTAGACCACTTCTTTTTATTCCTTAATTCTACATGGGCCTGGTTGGAGACACTGTAGAATCAGCCTTTTCCCAAATTTCTTCCAGGAAATTTTGTTTTGGTCCCAAAGTAGTGGCCCTGAAGGAGTATAACTCAGTGTTTTATTCACTGTGTCATGTATTGTATACTGACCTAAGTACGGGGCCTATAATGGTAAAGAAGACAGAATCACTGTACATAGAGTTTATGTCATAGTTGTGGGGAGAATGACAAACAAGAAACCAAAAAAGAAAGATAATTTCACATATTGCTACAAAGAAAAGAGGGTAGGGGACCAGCCAGTAGTGTTGGTCATGGGATGCTTTAGGTTGAAGAGGTTGCATTTCTGTTGAGACCTGAATGATAAAAAGATCTGGGAGAAGCATGTTCCAGGTGGAGGAAACAGCTGTGCAGAGGCTGTGATTTGGGTGCACAAGCTTGATGTGTGGGAGAAACAGGAAGACCAGCGTAGCTGGAGCAGAGTGAAAGTGGTTGATGATGCAGAAGTGGGCCTGTGCTTAATCCTGCAGGGCCTTGTGGGCCACAGTAAATTTTGATTGTGGTCGAAATGCCATGGGAAGCCATTGGAAAGTTTTGAGTAAAGAGAGGATTTGGACTGATACATACTTCAAGAAGTTCGTTTTGGATACTGGTTGGAAAAGGGACATCAGGGGAATAGGATGGGAAGCAGGCGACCAGTTAGTTGAAAGGTGTGGGGTATGATGGGCCTAGGCCTAAACAGAAAAATCATTTCTTCAGTCACTTGGTCTAAATGGTCCCTTTTTGTAAATGGCATAGCGGTGATCCAATCCTTGCACTCAAATGAACAAAGCACTAAGGTGGCTTAGTTTTGGTTCTTTGGGTGTTTTTAGGTAATCCCCTTCTAGTTCAACTGCACATTTACTTGGGTTGAATGAAGGTAATTCTCCTTTTTCTTCATAAAGAATGTTCACATGACAAATAAATGGATTTCCTAATTTCTCAGTCTTGGTGAACATTGTCCAAAATTAAAAATGCTCTCACACCTCTGTATTTTTATTCTGTATTTGAAAATAGATTATAAAGCATTTATTCTTTTCTACAGCATGAAATTTCTATCACATCAGTTTTGGCTTTTTAAATTTAAAAATTGGTTAAATGTAGCATATTTAAAAGTATATATTTGGCATCTTTCAAAACTCTTCAGATGCTGCATTTGGCAAGAGAAGAGGAAGGTTTCTTTCCCCTCTGTTGACTGAACTGAACTAACACAAGGGCTGAAGTGTGCAGCACACCCGTGAAATCCTAGACAGCTGCACCAAATCCCACTCCTTCGCTAAGAGCAGAGTTGAGTGACAGGGGACTTTAATTAGAGTGGGTTTTAGAAGGACCGAGAAAATGAAAAAGTGCATATGGCTGGGTTGGCTTAACTTGTGTTCTGACATGCCTCTAATTAAATCATCACTGTTTCTCTTCTCAGGGATCAATGAGCAAGGGCTCTACCGAATCGTGGGGGTCAATTCCAGAGTGCAGAAGCTACTCAGTGTCCTGATGGGTGAGTGCAGCAGTGGCTGTGCCAGGCAGGTCCCAATGGGCTCAAGGGGGCACCTCTGAAAAGTTACTGGTTCCATGAATATGAACAGCCTCTTGGGAAGGAATTGGGTGTCCAAGAAGGAACACCCAGAAATCAGCTGCCCCACTCACCAGTTGTTATGGCTGTAGGCATTACTGGAAGAGATACTTAGTGGGACTGGACAAAACAAACAAAAAAAATGGCAGGGCCAAAGCACCACACCCTGTGTTTGTAGACTCAGCCACTGCCAGTCCAAGTGGCGCTCAGTCACTCATGTGACCACCACACCCTACTCTGTCGTTTATAGCTTATGACTCCACTGCCCTCTTTGGAGACAGGCATTTAGTGGGGCACACCCAATGCCCAAGGAAGGGCATCCTTCTAGCCTGCAAAGCACCTCAGATCTCATGTTTCCTGTTACCAAAAAGGTGTCACGTGACTGCCAGATAACATGTATATAAGCAGATAATTCTTGTGATCCTCTTTGCATCTAGATTTCTACCTAGACTCTGGCATTTGAGGAGCAGAACCTCCCTCACAGCTAGCTGACATAAATATAAAACGACTGTCTCCAAATGTGTAGTGTTTGAATCAAAACCCCATGCGTCAATGAGCGAATTTGCTTAGGCTGCAGATTTCCTATATTTTTAGATGTGAATGCAGCCAGCTTCAGTGAGTCACATGGATTTAAATGGCAAACAGATCAGATTTCACGTATCAGTGGCTGTTACTCATCCCCATGGAAGCCCAGCCGTGCACTTGTAGAGATGGACTATCACTTAGGGTCCCGGCTCATTGTCTGCGCAGGGATACTTCTCTTGTTAATATTTGTCTTTTTTTTTTGGCCATTCAGTTTCTGAACATAGTTTTCGTATGTAAAGAAATCTCCTCTCTCATATTGTCCAGAATGACTCTTACCTGTCCCTTTTTCTAGAGAGCTCCTTGCTTCTTGTTGGCAAAACCCTATTCTGTTGCCAGTTACAGTAAGATATTTTGTTTGAAAGTATGATTATTTGTGAGGTCCTCTTGCACTGAGAATCTGGTTCTTGGTTCAGATTTGCAGTGTGGTTAGTTTTTGTTTTGTTTCTGTTTTTATGTTCAGTTAGCCACTGTATAGTACATCATTAGTTTTTGATGTAGTGTTCGGTGATTGATTCATTAATTACGTATAACACCCAGTGCTCATCACAACACGTGCCCTCCTTAATACCCATCACCCTGTTACCCCCTCCCCCACCCCCCTCCCCTCTGAAACCCTCAGTTTGTTTCCCGGGGTCCATAGTCTCTCATGGTTTGTCTCCCTCTCTGATTTCTCTCCCTTCAGATCTCCCTCCCTTCCCCTATGGTCTTCTGTGCTATTGCTTATGTTCCACATATGAGTGAAACCATATGATAATTGTCTTTCTCTGCTTGATTTACTTCACTTAGCATAATGCACTTTTATTTTGAGATAATTTTACATTTATATGCAGTTCTAAGAAATAAAACAGAGTTATATGTACCTTTACCCACTGTCCTCCAATAGTAACATCTTGCTACACTGTAGTAAGATGTCACCACCAGGATATTAATACAGTCAAGATTCAGGACAGTGTCATCACCACAAGGATGCCTTGTGATGCCCTCTTACGGCTCCATCCATCTGCTTAACCTCTCACCTACTTCCCTTACCCCTGCCGACTCTTGATCTCTTGCGCATTTCTTTAATTTTGTCATTTCAAGATTATCTCAGGGGAATCATATGTAATCTTTTTAGATTCGCTTTTTTTTTCATTCAGCATAATTCCCTTGAGATATTTTCTAGTTGTTGTATCAATACTTTGTTCTTTTTTATTGCTGAGTAGTATTGCATTGTATTGATATACACAGTTTGTTTAACCATTCACCTGTTGGGGGACATCTGGGTTTTTTCCAATATGGGTAAATTAGGAATAAAGCTGTTGTAAATAGTTCTGTACAGGTTTTAAATGTGAACATAAATTTGTTTCTCCGGGTTAACTGCCCATAAGTTTGATTACTGGGTTGTACAGTGACATGATGAATTTTTGAGAAATTGTAATGTAAAGAAGAATTAAGATTCTAACAGGTATCAACCCTCAGTCTTTCATTTCTGATCCGAGTTGCAAACGTGTGGAGTGTGTGCTTGCTATAGCAGATTGTCAGGTGCTAGAGCTGAAACTTCAGAAAGATTCAGTCCTTGTCTGCAGAGTCTGATAGGGGGAAATATACATTCATGAGAATCGTGATGTAAAATATGATACTGGCACCTATTACAAGCCGTATCTGGAAGATTGAGTATTGAAGGAAAGAATAGGAGAATAATTCAGATTAAGGAAATGAGCAGTAAGTAGCATGAAGGGCAGAAGCTAGGGTCAGTGGTGGCTATAGTAGAGGGTACTAACTTAATATTATTTTAATATTTGAAAGTGCTTGAGGCTGGATCAGGAGAGTTAAAACTGAAATTCTAAGATGGTCCCTTTTGTCAAAGAACTTGAATATTGTGCTAAGAAGTTTGTGAGAGTTTTACTTCCTACAGGAAAAAAAAGAAGACTCTATTAAAGGTTTTTAAGTAGTGGGGCACCTGGGTGGCGCAGTTGGTTAAGTTTCTGACTCTTGATTCGGCTCAGACCATGATCTCAGGGCTGTGAGATTGAGCCCTGTGTCATGCCCAGCATGGAACCTACTTAAGATTCTCTCTGTCCCTCTCCCTCTGCCCCTTGCCACCCCCAAAAAAGTAAGTAGTGATGAGGGCTCTCTTGCACACACAGTGTCAAGAAGACAATTCAGAACACTTTAAAGGAAAAATAAAAGGCATTAATTTGCTCACACAACTGCTCAGTCCAACATGGCAGAAGCATAGCAGGATGTGGTGGCTCCAATGACCTCTTTACCTTTGCTGGAGTCTTTCCCATTCCTTTCTTCTGGCTTCTCATTATCTGTGATCTCTGCTTGTCTTGATATCAGCTGTTTTCTTTGTGGGAATGTCCCACATTGTTCAGCCTCAGCAGTTTGTGAATCGTACATCACTGAGTAGAGAGTATCTTTCTTTTTTCTTTTTTTTTTTTTAAGATTTTATTTGACAGAGAGCAGGAGAGCACAAGCAGTAGGAGCGGCAGAGGGGGAGGGAGGAGCAGGTCCCCCACCAACCTGGGAGCTTAATGCGGGGCTTGATCCCAGGACCCTGGGATCACGACCTGAGTCAAAGGCAGTCGCTTAACCAGCTGAGCCACCCAGTCGACCTGAGAGTATCTTTCTTGACAGTTCATGAAGGACTTTGGTCAGCATGGGGCCATTCACATGAGTCATTTCTCAGTGCCAGGGCAGTCACATGACCTACAGCAGATGGATCTGGATGGCCTTGATCCCTTGCTTATCTCTGGTGATATTGGGAGGTGTGGCAAAGTGGAATAGGGAGGGGGTTAGTCCATAGAAGCCTGTGGACTGAGCAGAATTATTAAAAGAATGTTGGAGAGTGCTTTCCTGAAATAATGGCTGCTGGGTAGATTTAAAAAAAAGAAAGTATGTCCAACACAGGTTTAACAAGATCAGACTGTAGTCTTAGGAGGGTAGTACTGGCAGCAATGGGGAGCCTGTATTTGATATGGAGAGACACAGTGGAAGAAGATAGTTGCAATAATTAAGCAGCGTATAGCCGAACGAGGGCTGGACCAAGTAGATGCTCTGATATTAGGGGAAAAAGGCTCAAAATGAACAACAGGACTTTGTAACCTACTGGATATGGGACAAAGAGATTTCAAAGATGACAGATTATTATGTAAGGTGATACTAGTGAAAAGAAATAGGACATTTTGGATGGGTGTGCCAGAAAAAAGAACCAGTTTAGCTCAGTTGTGCTAAGCAAAGAGTGGTGTGAAAGGATCTTGTTTTTATCACTTCTCTTAGTGGCTCTCAAAGAAAATATTTGTCCTGTTCTCTTCCTCAGTTTTCCTGGGGGCAGACAAAATAATCATGAATATCTGAGAAATGTCATGAAAAACTAATAACCAGCAGCTGAAAGTCACAAGGCCAGCTGCCTCTACCAGGAGAACGTTACAGATAGACTAGAATCCAAACTGAGGCTCAATCAGAGCTGAAAGATGACCACAGTGCAAGATCTTATCAGAAATGGAGAATGGGGAGAGGGTGGAGCAAGATGGCGGAGGAGCAGGAGACCTGGATTTCCTCTGGTCCCAGGAATTCAGCTAGATAGGGATCAAACCATTCTGAACACTACGAACTCAACAGGAGATCGAAGAAAAGAATAGTAACAACTCTCTGAACAGAAATGCGACCACTTTCTGGAGAGTAGGACGTGGGGAGAAGTGAATCTGAGGCAGTATTCGGGAGGATAGACAGCAGGGGAGGGGGCCTCCGTCCACCACTTCTGGCAACTGATAGAGATGCGGAGCACAAAAATCAGAACTTTTAGAAGTCGGCTCCGCTGAGGGACGTTGCTCCAGTGGCTAAGCGGGGGGTGGAACCCTCTCTGGGACAGTGTGGTCTCAGGACCCTCGGGGTCACAGAAAGACTGGGGGTGCCTGAATATGGCAGAGCTCCCAGGTATTGGAGCAGGGAAGCCCGCTGCAGAGACGGAGCCGAGGTGCGGGCTCTCAGCTCAGGGTTGCCATAAACCGTAATCCACGGCACAGTCGGGCCACTGCTCCTCCAGCAGGGACCCAACAAGCGGCAGATCCAGGGAGACTCCCCTTTCTCCCCCAGGAAGAGTGGTGCTGGAGCGCACTGCAGGGATCTGCTGGTTTGGAGACTCCACACAGGGTTGTGCGCCAGAGAGAGAAATGCTGGGTCACAGGCCAGGTGAACACGGAGTGCAGCTGGAGACCAGGGAGATGGGAGTGACTGCTTTTCTCTGGGGGTGCACTGAGGAGTGGGGCCCCCGAGTTCTCGGCTCCTCTGGGGTGGAGATTAGGAGGCCACCATTTTCACTCTCATCCTCCAAAGCCCATCGGAAAGCTTGCAGGGAA